ACTAAACAACAATAAAATAATATAAAACCAAAAAAATTTGTAAATAAAATTAAAAAAACTAAATAAACTGAAGTACTTTAAAACTAATAAATTAAAAATAATAATAATATAAAAATATAAACAAAACAAAATTAAATAAATTTAAAATTAATAAAATAAAATGACATTGGTATAACAAAATTAGAAAATAAACATATTTATAAAATGAAAAAAAAAATATATATATATAATGTAAAAAAATTAAATTATACGAAATAAATTAAAAACAATATAAAAATAAAAAAAATAAAAGCAAGTATGATAAAACACTTTATAGCAAAAACTGTAATATGAGTTAAAATAAAATAAAAAGACATAAAATGAAAAATTTATTGAAGAATAAAATGAAAAACAAATAATATTATAAAATTCAAAATTAAAAAAAAAAATTAAATAGAATAAAACAAAAAATAAAAAAGTTTAAACTAAAGTCAAAAAAGTAAAACAACATAAACTGAACTGAAATAAAATATTATAAAATAAAAAGAATAAATAAATTATAAACAGAAATAAAATAAAGTAAAGTAAAACAAAAAAAGTTAAACCAAACAAAATAAAAAAAATAATAAAAATATAAAGAAAAAAATTATGTACTAAACAAAATTTATAAATAAAATTTATTAATTTTTAATTATAACAAAATAAGTATGGATTGTTTGTGAGTCTTTTATTTTTCTCTATCTAAACTGCAATAAATGGCAAATTACTATAGGATTTGTTGTTTATTGAATTTAAGGAAGTGTAAGGAGCAAGTGTTGCTAACTTATATATATATATATATTATATATATAAATATAATTGGCGCCATTAATTGGTTGCTAACTTATTTTCAGTTAAAAAAGTATTATGTAATCGTTTTTTTGTAAACCGGCGTTGAACTAACTTTGTTGTTTTCGAAGAAACCTAATTAAAATTGAAACGGTTAGTTATTGATTTTAAACCATGGAAAGTAACAGAAGAAAATATCTGATTTTACTTAAGGGGCACACCTAGTGTGAAGTTGCAAAAAATCTTTCCGATCTTTTTTCATATTTCGTAGACTACACTTTTAAAAATAACATATTCAAATTTCAAATCGATATCTCATATAGTTTTTAAGTTATAGCAATTTAAAGAGCAGCCGTTCGGCAGCTAGAGAGTCTCATTAGCTACGAGTGAAAACGATCATTTTATCCTTAAACGCGTTTTTCTCGAAACAGCATTTTCCTGCTGCAGTGATTACTCAAAAACAAATGATCCGATCACTATCGAATTTTTTTACATGTTCTGTATATAGTTCTCCGTACAATGACCTATCGATTTTTGATCTGATCAAAAAATCGAATTTTGGCAGGCCAAAACCGACCAAAATTTTGGGTAAAATTCGAGTATTTTTTTTTTGAAAACGCCGCTATATTCTCAATTCAATTCATCTATTCAGACAATATTATCTAGTAGAGAATTTTGGTTTATTAGATTTCATCCACGGAGAAGGCCGAAATCACTGCAGCAGTGAAGGACCTTTTTTTCGCGCCGTTGGAGGTCGACTATAACTTCAAAAATATTTGTTTTTTTTCTTCAAAAATTTCACTGTATATTCTTGAAACATGTTTGAATATATTCTTAAAATTTTGAAATAATTGATGAAGTATTTCTTTTAATAAAAATTCCCAAAAACCACCTTTTTTTAGGGCATTACACTAGGTGTGCCCCTTAATTAACGGTAACGTTCTTAACAATTTTTGTAAAGGGAACATTTCGATCAAATTGATTGAAAAGTATTTTCAGAGAGTTTTCAAAATATTTGTTATTTTCTTCTGCAGGAACAGTTCTTAGGCTTTTCGTGTGTTAAAATTCATTAAGAACAGATGTTGCATGACAACACATTTGAGGTGTGCAAGCACTGCTGCTTGCAGCTAAATAATGACGTTATGTGTATGTATGAAAGTGTAAGAAAACGAAGCAGCAAAACACACTCAAATGTTGCACCGCTGCCTTTGAGTGCAACAATTTGCGGCAGCAATGGTGGCATGAGAGAAATTTCAATGGAATTCAACCCCCAAAATGCATGGAAATTCATAGGTGAGGGCCTTGAGATATGTGTGTGCATATGTATGAGTGTGTTGCACATTCCAAATTCTAATTAGAATGCATAGAATTTCGGGGGAAAGTAAGAAAAAATAGAAAACTCATTATAGCAGTTGGTGAAATGAAATGGCATTAGAACGGCTTTTAATATAAATTTCTGCTTTGAGTGTTTTTTGGTATAGTTTTTGGAGCATAAATACCTGCCGAGGGGTATTCGTATTTAGAGGCAGATATTTACATATTTCTACTATTAAATTCATCTACATACATATGTATGTATGTATATATGTACATATTGATTTGATATTTGTGCTCTCTCCCCTTCTATTTGACGTATTTATGACATTTGGGCAGCCAAGTTTTTGGTGCGCGTTTTTACTAGATGCCCCTCCACCGCCCCCTTTGCATGATCAGTGGCTAGATCAGTTTCATTTTTTCCATTTTAAAGGTAATCAACATACACGGGGGAACCATTTTTGACAAGTTATTACCGCCAACAGGGCGGGAGCAACACTAGCTGTACAAAGTTGAAGTTGGAGGTGGGGGGAAATTCTTCTCAAATAGCATGTTATCATGCGATGGTTTGTTGGTTGGTGCGACATGACACTCACGTAAGACATATAATGGTGATAAGAGGTGTTGCGGAAATGATGCTATTTCACACCAGAGCATATGAAGATGAAATGAAGGTTGGGTAATTTAAGCTGATGAGGATCGATGATCTATGGTCTCCAGAGGATAGCATTTCTTCATGCGGGAGAAGATAATTTGATGCTTGGAAGCCCAGACAGGGGTTTAAAAACCGAAAACTTTGTCACTACCGATGAGTGTGTATGTGTAGCTTGAGATAACCTGAACTGATCTTCTGGTCACCTAATTAATTTAGGCATGCCTAAAACCTCAATTTGCAAGAACACACTTGAGGCTATTCAGATCAGTATTCCTGTGAAGAAAAAAATTAAATTTCGAAGACTCAGCAGGAAAGTGAATTTCGTTTTAAGTACGTGGAAGTGGGATTAATTCGATCGGCGTAATAAAACTATGAGAATGAGTATCACACAACCATTCGAATATCGGAACAGATCGGCCGAGATAAGATGAAATTTTGCGTTTAACTTGAGTGGATCGATAACAATGAACTCGATGATCAGACCTAAGCTGAAGAGAAGTTTTTGATGTGATTCTAAAATTTTTCGAGTGGTTCAGGAAGTCTGTAAAATGGTAATTCTGAAGTGCGAAATCTTAGAGTCAGGACTCCCACCTTTCACTGGTCTTGTCACTAAAAATGTTATATAGAATATTCTGGGACACGAGAACGGGAGAAGTACGGGTAAATCTTGAACCCTCAACCCGCAAGGGTATTCCTAAGAACTTATTTAAAAGGTGAACAAGTTTTTTATTCATATCTGAAGGCGAAAAAAAGGCGGAACGTAGTCTTAAACCACTTTAAATAAATTTATGGTAAGAGCTGTGATCTACTCAGGATCATAACTTTTTCTCAGTAAATATGTATGTATGTATGTATAGATGTTGGAAACTTTGTTATCAAACTAGCATATTAGGTGAGCAATATGCGGATCAGTGATCTACTAGCAGGGGGTAGAGCTTGAAGCACAATTTTTTTAGTTGGTATAAGAAGGACTGAAGAATATGTTGGTAGGAATCTCCATTAGGTCGTCCAGTTGATTTGATCTACATATTATATACATATATTATAGATTATATCATAATTATTTCTCTGGATAGATGGGAAATTTGACTGCATCTAAGACCTTTTAACATGCAACGAAAGCCATTTGAGATGAGCTTGAGCTTAGCAGGATCTCTTCTGCTTATTATGTATATACATACATATAGCTAAAAGATATTTTTATTTCGAATTAAGGAATCAGTTGTCAGTCAAACCGATGATGTTTTAGCAATGGGTGGAGCTTAAAGCACATTTTCTTTTGGTTTTTGTACGGAGGCAATGAAAATATATCTCGTGAACTCCTTTTGCTACTCAGGATATCTAGATATTATTGAGTGAAACTTGGTAGGGTAGGGTAGTTACGATCACAGTTAGCCAATAAGCAGACAGTTAGCTGAGTAAAATAAAGAGTGGAAAATAAACGAAAACTCTATTTATTTGTATTGGACATAGTTTAAGAACGGAGGGTTGACAACGATAGAGACTCAAAATTTGTAGGGCGCATAAATGAGCTAAATACTCATGTCTCGCATGCTCTTTGCAGATAAAAGTTATTGCAACAACAGCAACATACAGTTAGTTTACAGCGATGCTGTTTCATTGTCCACATACGATCTGTCTCTACGCACGACGACTCGCGCTCTCGCTGGCTCACTCACTTGCTTGTCTACTCGATAGTTGTTGGTAGCATGAGCATGCATACAAAGGTGTTAGTTATTTCCCCGCCTCGCGCACGGAATTAACGCGCTCTCCATACTTGCTGTGACATTTTCGTAAATGAAATATATACACACATACATACATATAATATATACATATGCATGTGTGTACACTATGGCCATTGAGTATTTTTGTTTTTTGGGAAAGTACGCAATAAAGGGAGAGGAAAATTCATGTTAACTTCATTGTTTAAATAATAGATGAAGTAGCAACGAAGGCAAGAAACTAGAAGAAGAGGGTATATGCGCGAGTGAATTTAGAGTTTTACTATATGTGTGTATGTATGTTTGTGCGTTTTTGAATTTCTCTCTATTCTTTTTTTGTTTGTTTGTGGGGTCTTCTATTTTGTTTTTGTCTTGAATCTTCTGAACAACCACCACCATAGCGCCCCTGGCCATGGCCATGACAATCATTTGAGTTGCCTGAGTGCAGAGAAAGGGCCGAATAGTTGTGTATAAAAGGGCGAGCCTGTCGTCGAACCTGTCAGAGTCACAACAGTGCTTGGAGAGTAAACAACACGCGTAATTCGAGAAACGAAGAGAAGTTAAAGTTCGTAGATCGAAACAAGTAGAGACTAATAAACAGAAATAAATAAATTAAAAAGTGCGCAACAAAATTTATGGCAAAATATTTACCAGAATAAAATAAAGTAAATTACAATTTTTTTTGTTGCAATTTTTCAAAAATTTCCAAAACAATCGGTCACAACAATGACTCCCGCCATACAAGCCACTTACGATGCAACACGAAACTACAAGTGTCCGCTTAAGAAGCGGCCCGTGGTCTATGTCGTGGACGACAAGGATGCGGAGCCGACGCAACGAAAGGATGATGTTTTACCATATTACGGTGCTTTCGCCAACGCGGCGTGCATCAAAGAGGAGGAGCCGGACTCGGAAAGTGAGTTATCGATTAACCACTGTGATGAAGAGCCACAAGATCTTTCGTTGAAACGCAAATTCACCAGTTCAACGGCGTATGATGAATATGAGCCGCCAATAAAACGTGAACATGTCCTGGATCTTTCCAAGACAGCCTACAATCCAAATGTGCAGGACGCAGTCAAAAGATTGAGTTATCAACCTATTTCGCCAGCGCACTCTATGAATTCACCAGCCTATGGTCGAGATTATCACGATCAATACGATGTACAACAGCAATACGAAAAGTCGGCTAGTAAATGCTACAACAGTGCCTCAAAAGACTACAAATCGGCGTTTATGTTAGCTGCTGCTTGCGCCGCGCCAATGGCAGCACTCTGGAACCCATACCAGTCTAGCATGGGCGATCTGAGTTCGGTATATCCATCGCCTGCATCCTCGCTAGCAACGCCATTATACACACAGCATATGACGCCACCATCAAGTCCCAGCTCGGAGGACGATTCGGATGTTGAAGATTTGAGTATACGAAGTGATATACCCTTGCCAGCGTTGCTACATCACGCGACAGATTATAACTCTGCTGGCAGAAGTAATAGCAGCAGCAGCAGTGCTAGTAGTACGAGTTCCAACAATACCAAAAGCATGACCATGAAGTCATCAACTTGCAAGGCTTCAACGATAGACAAGACAGCCAACTTTGACTTTAAGTGCGACAAATGCTCTAAAATGTATTCCACCGGCATTGGCTTGGCGAAGCATCAGCAATACCATTGCCCTGCCGCGGCATGTAATCGGGAAAAGAAGCTAAATTCGTGTCCCGAGTGCGGTAAGGTGTATAATACTGCCGGCGCTATGAAGATGCATGTTCGCACGCACACATTACCCTGCAAGTGCCCCATCTGCGGTAAGGCCTTCTCACGCCCGTGGCTACTGCAAGGTCACATACGCACACACACCGGCGAGAAGCCCTTCCAGTGCACAGATTGTCCGCGTTCCTTTGCCGATCGCTCGAACTTGCGCGCCCATCAACAGACCCACGCCGAGGTGAAAAAATATGCCTGTAAGCGCTGCAACAAGTCCTTCTCGCGCATGTCCTTATTGAATAAGCATGCTAGCACCAATTGTAGCAACACAAATGCGTAGTCTAGCTTCGCGCTTGGAGAAGAAGTTTAGAGAAAGTAACAGCATCGAAGGCAGGACCTCAAAGGGAAGCGTGCGGTTGTAGCTGATCGTTTTGAAAACGATGTGTACAGTATTTAAGATGGCAGGAATACCATTTTATTTATATTAGTTTTAAGTTATGCTATTTATTGTTATGCTAGTTTCCTAAGTCATCTCATTAAGTTATTTATTATTCTTTTTATTTTACAAAATGCGGGACAATGATTTAAGAAGAAAAGGATTCAAATAAAATAATAACTGAATTCTTTTAAGGTATATATGTATGTTTTTTATTTTCTAAAAAAATATTCGGAAAGCAAAATTTCTCATGAATTAAACATTGGACATTGAACATTGAATTCGGGGTCCCCAAGATAAGTTAATCTCAATATCAAATATTCTGGCTTCTCTCTTCTTTTAAGAATTCTCTTTTTCATTTCATCTTCCATTTTCTTATTTCTTTATCTTTCTGCCTCTATATCCCCTTCTCTCTCCCTTACCACCTTTCTCTCTTTCTCCTTTTGTCTATCTCTTTCTGTCTATCTCTTTCTCCTTCCCTCTTTCTCTCACTCTTTCCGCCTCTTTTGCTCTCTCCTAGCGTTGGTCTCTCTTTCTCCTTCCGTTTTTTTCTCTCTCCTTCCGTGTCTCTCTCTTTCTCCTCCGTCTATTTCTCTATCTCCTTCCGTCTCTCTCTCTCTTATTCTATCTCTCTCTCTCTCTCCCTCTATTTCTGTCTCTCCCTCCCTCTCCTTCAGTCTATCTCTCCTTTTCTGGTTTTTTCTCTTCTGTTTGTTGTTGTTGTTGTCGTAACCGCAAAATTATTCCCCAAAGTACTTTTTGGGGAATATTGCGGGAGCGACAGTCCTTGGCCTGATAAAAATCCGGGTCGTTCCGGTATAAAGGCCCCTCTGTCGCGGGAACTATTGGATTTTAGTCGCCTCTTACGACAGGCATGCCTTACCGCGGGTAAATTCTTGAGCCCCTAACCCGCAGGGATTTTCTCCTCTGTTTCCTTCTCTTTACTCTGTTTCTTTCTCTTTACTCTGTTTTTTATCTCTTGTTCTGCCTTTCTCTCTACTTCCTTCCTCTCGCTTTCTTTCTTCCCTCCCGCTTTATCACTAATTCTCTCAATTTCCCCCCTCTATTTCTTCCTTTGGCACTTTCTCTAGCTTTTGCTCGTGGGCAAATTCTTCCTGTAGAACTGAAAAAGTGACCTCAGAAGCATTCTCCACTTTGGGTAACATTACACAGACGTCCAGGGACCCACGGAGTTCGCCGCACAACGACGTATAACTTTCTCCTACACATCTATTTCCATTTACAAAAGCACCACTTCCCGTGCATTGGCTACTTAGCACCTTCTAGTACTCCCACCGTATGTTCCTTGTGTTGGACCATATATCGTGCGACTTTCAAGCGTGCTCTGGCCCGCACACTACTTTTGCGTGGAATGATGCTGGTAATGTTCTATGATGTATGTGTCTTCTCCCTCCCTTTTCTCTGTCTACACACGCTACACCACTGCTCACTACTAGCAAAGTTACGACCGTACTCCCGAGGCAGCCTAGACCTCTTCCGTTCAACAAACTCTAGTGGAAGGGAGCACCTGCCCTCTTCTGAGTCGAGACGGTTGCAACGTCATATGTACGAATTGTGAACGGATTCATTAAAGTGGCTTAGCGCACCGCGATTTTTCACATCCTATGTCAAATTAATGTAGCTAGACATAGACATGCAGCACGAACGTTGATACCCACACCACAATACCATAGCCACACATTTGACATTACCATTGGTGTACGCCTCTACTGTAGCTCATTGATACCTGCTATGATTTTCCATTGAAGCTGGAATTCGGACGCGAGGACCGAATTGAAATTTAAATCGGTGATCGCCCCTCGAAGGAGAAAATGCGCTATTTTAAAAATCCAATGGTTACAGCTAAAAGGCCAGCGAGCCGCCATTTCCTTAAAATGTCTAATACCATCACGGCCTTTAAATTCGCCACAGAAGAGCGTATAGGATTGTCTCGCAACTTAAGTGGAAAAACCCCTCATTTCAACTGAAGTCTGAAGGTGACTCTTTCTAACTATCAGAACGAAGAAATAAAGGCTGGATTTAAATTTCAAATTCGATGATCTGAAAATTCCGGCTTCAATAGCGCAAAGTTGCCGTGTAGATGCGATATTTGACAGCTTGCGCTCTTATTTAACTCCCAATACATCCAAGATGGTTATCAAGATCCAGCTCTGCAACAAAATCCACACATCAGTATCAAAACGGAGGACTAGTTAGATGCATTTCCTCGTACACCACCATTTACTCTCCTTGTTAAAGTGTATCTGTTAGCAGCTACCGCAGTGATCATCATTTCAGACATCTGCTTGAATCCAAACTTACACATAGGTTCATCGAGAACGAAGTATCCGACTATACAGACCACATTTAGCTCTATGTTAGAGAGCCACCAGACGTGGTAAGCTACTGACAGACCGTAGACCTCATTTACAGAGACCCTGACCTTGCTTCTTCAGTTCGCCAACTACTACTTATAGCAGATAAATGGCAAGAGCTGTCTAGACCCGAATAATACTGACACATCTAAAATATGCTACTTTGGTAGACTCGATACCTATTTTTCCATACTTGAAGTCCACATACAGTCATTCAAGGCGCCAAGATCATCAGACTGCCATATTTCTGGTACAGTTACTCAATTCAACTTCTACTTATCTAGACGCGATGCCGACATACCCAATGTTTGCCCTACCTATAAGGAGTCCATTGACGAGATCAAACACCTCTTTACAAGTACGCTAAAACAGCTTTCGCTCTGGACGGAGCCGCGCGAAAAAACTAGTTTCTGAGTCATCCGTTAGATACCCTCGACGACATTAGTTGGCTTTGCCTATTGCTGAGCGCGTTTTCCAAACACAAATCCGGAAAAACTCGACATTTCATGCTCACTTCCCTTAAAAAGTGAAGTTTCTACTGTCTACCACTTGAAGAGACTCCATCCTGAGCAGTTGGCTCCAACATTTCAGCTATGTAAACATGCGACTGCAAGTTTTGTATCTTACCATAGCAAATATTTGAAATCATAACCGTGAGGCAACACCTGCTCTGGCAACAATATGGATCAGAAGCGAGTGCTTGTTTCAACAGCTCATGCCACTGGATTTTAGTTCATTTCTTCCGTGGCATGTTGCTGGCTGGCTTTGTGTAAATATTTTATACAATTTTTCGATAATAATACATACTTGTATGTATGTATGTATTAAATAATACGATACGCAAGGAGTAGCAGTGGGGGTAAATAAGGAAAAAGGATTGCGGCAGAAGACAGGAAATGCGAGCATGTGAATCCATCATCAACACGATGTGCATATGGTTGTTTACATTTATGTATGTATTTGTGTATGTGTGTATGTATGTATGTATGTGTATATGTATGATAGTGCGTTTTCAAAGGATTTTCCACGCCAGTAGTAGCTGACAAGCATATGTATGTACGCATATAACGATGTACTTACGCTGATATTGTTTATTTGTTTGCTTAAGTCTGTATACTCGTAGTGCATACATATATTTATATGTATGTATGTATGTACATATATACATATGCATTAAGATCCTCATCATATTTATTGATCAGACAAAGTGTTGAGTTGCGGTTGAATGATGGATTTGCGTTGTCCTGTGGGGGACTTCAGTCGGTGAATGGCACCTACACAAACAGAAGAATGTGTTCGCAGGTGAAGTTGTTGGTGAAAGTGAAAGGTGCAATGGTTAGTTGTTGTTGTGGTTGCTGATGCAGCAAAGAGTTTCAAGAAGACAATATTGTTTGGTTGGCTGGTTGGTTGTTGGCATATATTTGGACACAAAGAATAATGTGCAGGGAAGGGTTGTAGAGATTTGGACGTGGAGGAGGAAAAAAGTATTGACATACGAAAAGGAAAGAAAGAAACAACGAAAAAAATGTAAAATGATGAAGAAAAAATATGTCAAAGGAAATAATTTTTAAAAAGACACCAAGAAAATGCTTGAAATGTATAAAGCAGGACCAATTATTTGATCGAAATTAACCTGGAATTGACGTATGCATAATGAGTCCGTCAATTATGTCAGCACCTATGAGAAGTTAGGTATGGCTGCTTTAAAAAAAAGCCGCCAACTAAGACGGCGCTATGCAGCAAGATGACAAGATCTTTTGACATCTACTGCAGAATTCAAGCAGAAGAGAGGAGGCTTAGTAAGAAGTTATCCATTATTTTTGCAATAGATGGCTGTAGTGTTCCGTATCTTGCATTCTATAAGTGCGATTGGGTTGCGCTAGATGATATTAGAAAGATGATATTTGAGGAAAATGTTTATAAAATAATAGAGATCGACGAGTCCTACCATGGTGTGAGCACTGTTTCGATTGCCGAGGAGCTAAACATTTTAAAAAGAGCAGTTTGGAACCACTTGGGAGATTCTGAATACACAAAGAAGCACGATGCATAGATCCCACTTGAGATGTAACGAAAAATAAGCTCATGAACCGAGGCGAAGTGACTGGTGATTGGTGAAACGTCAAATGATAACAGTCGGTTCTGCGGCCAAACTCTTAATTCAACCAATTCTTGGCCAACCGGAGGGTAAATGTGCCTCATCAGGAACAATGCTAGACCACACACATCGATATTAACTCGCTGAAATAGTCTATCCTGCAGTCGGAATCTCGCAGTTAGTGAGTTCCTGTCCGTAATTGGCCTCAAGATAAGAATGGATTGTATGTTAATAGATATTCTCCATTGGGCACTACGTAGCGCAAAATTATTTTTACACAGACTTGAAATACTCCAGAATGCCCTGCGTCTCCTTCTTATGATGTGGAAACCATATTCGAACTGCATGTCCTTAAAACACTTTTGAGAGGCATGCAGTCTGTGGGAAGATATGTTAAGGTGTATATGTATATGTCTCCTAGTACATAAGACAAATAACCGCAAGCTAATCAATAACACGAGTGGATTCAAAAAAAGAAATGAGGATCATCAACCGTCCATTACGGATATAGACTCTCCTTTCCCGCTTCGCGAGAGTTCTCTTCAATAACTCTCTATAGACAAAGAGTAGCCAACTTCTGAATTTACTTCTTCTTCTAAAGAAGCAATAGATCTTTTAAATGAAATCTACTATGACGGAGAACGCTATATTGAGGTCAGTCAAAAGTGAGAGTTCCGTTCAGAGTTTGTGTGTTAAGAGGCTAAGAAGAAGAAATAAAGGTCTTA